TAACGTTTAATAGGAGAAATAAATTTTGAAGATATTTAATAAAGATAAAATTTTTAAAGATTTTTCATTTTTACCTGTGATAGTCTGGTTCATAACGATGATACTTGTTCGCTAATATTCTTTTGGAATGATAACGTTTTCGATGTTTTGAAAACGAATGCCATCGTGGGTGTCGCCATGGAGGAGGACTATAATATGAATATGGCTTAACTTTGTAGGTTTCATTAAATTCCACTAATTCCAGAATTAAGCCAAAGAACATGATAACCGTAAGTAACTAAAAGTTATTATCAACACATCATAGTTAATATTAACATTAATTTTTGCGAAAGACAATGTTTAATTTTTAAATGTTAATTAACTCACCTTCATTTTCATAATGTAAAATTCAATTTTTTATAATTGTACTTTCAAGGCATCCAATTTACTTTAATTAAATTATTGATTAAATAAATACGTTGTTAGAGTGGCATTTTTCTACATACACCTTTTCCATTTTAATAGTAATATTCTTTTCCACAAATTGGTAAAGAAATATTTATTTATCACTATTTGTTAATTTATCACTTTATCTAAAATAACGATTTTAATTTTTACTTTAAACATTTCAATAGCTTTACAATGAACAATTGTGTATTACATATATAAAACATAAAATTAATAGATATTAAGAGTCTTCGATTGTAGATTTTATACATATATATATATAAACATATACATATATATCACTTTATTTCAGAAACAGAACACATTATCTCGCTAAGATTTTGATGAAGAGAAACGCTCGTGTAGCCGGATAAAACCTTCATGGATCGAAATGAAACTATGAACTTGAAAGTCTTCAAGCAGACTTTCTTTTATATCTTCCCTTCCATTTCTCTCGAATCGCCTACAGCAACATATGTATAATGATTCATAAATGTCATCGTAATGCTACAGCTAAAGTTATTACAATTTATTCTTCAATGAAGAAAAGTTTCACTAAGGGAAATGTACACTCACAAATAAACAGACAAACAAAATAAGAAATTATTTGGCAAAAGATTGTATGTATCTAATAGCATAATAGAAAGTTGTACAATGATTCAAGAAATAAGGAATGCACTCGAGTAAGAATCACATGCAAATTTCATTCATGATTCACGTTATGCAAAGTAGATACTTTCTTTGTGATCTAAATTTATGAAAAATGTTAATATATTTCTTATAATCTTGTAAACACACACATTCATACACTTGAAGTATGCAAGAATATTAACAGCAATTAAGCAGCAGCTTTTTCAAATGCGACATTAAATATCTTAATATATTAAACTTGATTATTATATAAAAAGTAACTTTAAAAAAAGTTTCACAAATTTATGGTTTGATCAATATAAATTAACGTTAAATTTTATTTATTAATAGCTATCATAATATTCATTTTAATTAAACATATAGTTTTAAATTTTATAAAAGCGATAATATAGAAAAGATGTTTATGTTAAAAAATTGTTGTAGCAATTGATGAGCCGTAGATCCAGCGAAAGTGAAAAGTGAACGGAGGCATCATACATAAAGGTACTTTCAAGATACTTTCAACAAAGAGTGTATGCTAATGCGTGCGTGAATTTGCTTTCAAAGATTTCTTTAGGAAGTACTCATTCTTTTGAATGATGTTGCTGTTATATTGTCTATTTCATCAATCTAATCGTAGTCGAGATCCTGAGAGCTCTTAGAACTTTCTCTTTTTAATTATAAAAAGGAAGATTATTAAATTAATATAAAAAATTATAAAAAGGAAGATATTTCGATAATCATATATATAATTACTTAAAATAAATTTAAAAACATGTTAATATATTTTACAGATTTTTATTCAATCCCTGGAAGATTTTAGAACGTAACTGTAACATTACGAAATGTATTGTTACAATTGCATTTATAATTGCATTAACATACATTCGCGCGCGACCAGTAGAAGTACAACGAATATATTTTATTATTACATATTATTGTTTCCTACTATGTTGCACTGAATAATAATTACGGTTTTCATCACAGCTTATAATAAATTGTAACAAGATTGCTTATTGAAGTAATAATTATCTATAATTAATTTGAAGTAATAATTATCTATAATTAATCACTTAAACGAATACATTATTTTAAAAAGATATGTTTTCGTATAAAAGCCCATTGCGTATAAACGTAT